GAACGTATTTACAATTTTTTTTTTCTTTAAAAGAAATTACCTTTAGGAAAGCAATGTATACTATAGTAGAAAGAAGCACATTTTCCATTGTAACTAATAGGAACTTGGATTTAATTGGGAATTTTCTCAAAACATGGAAATATCTATGAAGAAGAAAACTACAAGCCAATTAAAAATCATATCACCAGTTAAGGAATGAGAAATAACCTTTAGATTTTCTGTATATTGATATAATTACATGTCAATTAGCAAAGCACAATCTAAGAAACCTTTTTCAACCACCTTGATGAATCACGGCAATCATATCAGCATTCCTCACTGTGCTCAAACAATGGGCAACAATAACTGTTGTTTTGTTGACCATAATCCTATACAATGTTTCTTGCACAACCCTCTCGGATTCACCATCAAGTACACTTGGTGCTTCATCTAGAAGTAGAATTCGCGGGCTTTCATAATTGTTGGCAATGACAACTCGTTGCTCCTGTCAAACAGACAGTTGAATTCTGTGCTCACCCACCATTGTGAATAGTCCCTGAATTAAAATTTAAAATTCAAAGGCAAATTAAATAATCGCATTTTCATGGAAGTGAAGAGGAATACAGAAAGCGTAACAAAATGGAGGTAGCTTATCAACGAATTTGGCAGCATTTGCAAGCTCAGCTGCAGCTCTAACCCCCTCAATTATTGCCCCGTCCTTCCATACACAATATTATCCTCAATCCTGGATGCGAACAATGCTAGTTCTTGGCTGAGAAACCAATTTTCTCCAAACTCCATTTAAGCTGGAACACTTTTAGATTAATTCAATCAATAAGTACTTCACCAGTTTGTGGATCATAAAATCTATAAATAAGACGGATCACTGTTGACTTCACGCTTCCACGACGTCCAACCAAAGCTGCAGTTGTGCCACTAGGGATGGAAAGAAAGAATGAACTGAATATTTGCTCATCTGGTATGGCTGGATAACTAAAATGGACATATCTTCACTCTGCGTCCACACTAATGTCATCCAATATTTTTCCCTTCATGTCATATGCATCTATCTCTGGCTTACTATATATAGTCTCAAACATTTGGAATGCAACAGCTTGACCGGCACCAAATGTACTCATGAAGTGAGATGCCAGCCCTGAAGACCTGAAATTTCCACATTGCAACAAAAGGTTGTAAATATCTGATTTGCTTCCAATATGATAAACACAAGCATAAGGTGAAAGTGTTCTCCTTCACGTGGCACTAAAACACTAAAACTTCATTCGAAGCTACACAAAACCTAAAAAAACAAAAACTATAACTTCATTTTAGCTCTTCTTTTTTTTCTTTTACATTTCATCCGAATTTTAATTTTTCAAATCTTACAATTCTCTCATATCTTTTTTCTCCTACCCTTTTCGAGCTCTTCCGAGTAACATGAAACATAGACAAATTGAAAAATATAAATATTCAAGCATACAACAGTAGTAAGAAAAACTGAACTGAATTCACAAATATGCATCCCAATGTGGCTAATCATAAAGATTTTAAAAAAAAAAGAAAAAAAAAAAAAAGTTTCATATGATTTACCTTCAAAAACAAAACTTCTATAACATATAGAAGCGCCCAGCCAACCCAATCTCTGCCTTGTGAGAAATGGAAGCGACAATCTAAAGAAAAATACAAAGCAGATGCAACCAAATAGAAATAAAAAGTAAAGCCAATTAGACATTCATTTGAGATAAGGGCATTAAAAATCCTGTAAAAGAAATGAGAAATAATACCAGCTAATCCAGTAACATTATCACACCATTAATAATTGCAGAAACGGCTCATGCTATCAGAACCAGAACCTCTGGTTTGTTGAGAAAGGCAAGGCGGCAGGAACTTGTCGACACTTTTTTGACAGTTTTTATAGGTGCCACTGGATTCTGTTAATCCAGTGTCAGGAACACGCGCTCCTGGTGGTGGTAGTGGACCAAATGGGACAGAGAGTGAGCGGTGGTTGTTGTTTACTGATCCAGATGATCCCCAAACTTGTGGAACGCAGGAAAGACTTTCGTTGACTTGACTGTCAACCAGATTCCGTATTAATTTGTGACTTTTTCTTGCTCAACTGCACCTTGTAGTTGTGAATCTTTGTTCACTTCTAGCAATCGTATGAGCTGAGAGTGATTCTTACACAGTTCCAAATGTGAGCCTGTTCAATTAACAAATATGACACCAACTGACATACATTTCTCTCTGATCTATGAGAACTAAGTTGAAAAACAGTAAAACAAGAAGTTGCGATTTAGGAACAAAATGAGGAAATTTTAAAAAATTTGTAATTACCTAGAAAATTCATTGGAATGTATTTACAATTTTTTTAATAAAATTACTTGTGGGAAAGCAATGTATATTATAGTAGAAAGAAGCACACCTTCCATTGTAACTAAAAAGAACTGGGATTTTATTGGGAATTTTCTCAAAACATAGAAATATCACACAGTATGAATAAGAAAACTACAAGCCAGTTAAAAATCATATCACTAGTTATGACATGAGTAGTAACTTTTAGATTTTCTGCATATGTTACATAATAATTAGCAAAGCACAATCTAAGATATCTTTTTCTACCAATTTTCCTTGATGAATCATGGCAATCATACGGGAATTCCTCACCGTGCTCAAACGATGGGCAACAATAACTGTTGTTCTGTTGACCATAATCCTATTAATGAGCAAGCATAAATTCATATTTAATTGGTCTGTTGATGTGTTATTAAAATGATAGAGGTCAAACATTTTAAAACAAAAAAGAAGGTTGCCTGTAGCATTTTAATAAATGTACAGTAATATAGATTGGTCAGACAAACCAAACCAAAACCATCAAGCTCTAAAAAGCCCAAAACGGTAGGGGAATGATGAGTAAAATTTATGAGAAAATTGGAATAGCATGCCATCTGCACCTTATATTCTGGAAAGAGACAGAAGTGAACAGAACATGTTCTTCCTTGGGAAAATGCCATTAGTAATCAACGATGCTGTACAAAAGCCACTAAGGTGGATTCTACAATAATTATTACTATCTTACAATGTATTCTGCATTCAGGTTTTAATTGAGGATATGCATACTCGTAAAAGGGATTACTATTGCCCCAAGCAATCCGCCCTAGATATGCATATTCATGTGAAGGCAAATAAGTTTGAGAGAAAAAAAATCTTAAAAGCTTACCAAGGGGTTAAGGAGCCGAGCTCAAGGTTCAAGACAAAATTTGCTAAACAAGAATTTCACATATCCCAGCAAAATGTTGTGCGGCTGATGAACAAATCTCTGATTATGCCGTGCCTGATCTTGAACCATTTCCTCCACTTGCAAATAGAAAACCAACACCATTTTGGTCTCTCAAAAGATCTGGATTTCTGCTATTGCCTAACATTCTTGTGTGCTGTTTTCTTGCTCCAATCTCAAGGCAGTCTCCAAGTTCCTTCTTAACCACATCACATGGCTGATAAGGTGATGGGGTCTAAGCACAATCATATGGCTTTCACGCAGAGCATCTCTGGCTTTGGCACCTTTTCCTGGAGTGGCCTGCTGTGCATTCTTTTCTGGAGGTATATTCCCTTGGTCTCTCTTAGTTTCATCACGCAAAGCTGGCCCCCTATCAGATAGCTCGAGATATGAAGCAGCAGCGGATTCCTGGTTAAATCTGTAAAAAGAGTTTGCACCTGAGCTGAATGTCACGGGCCTAGAGATTTGGCGCAGCGGCACGGCCCGTGCGGCACCAAGGCGTTGCTTCAGCTCGCGCAAGCGCCCTGGTCAGCCACCACGACCTGCCCTCCCAAGGATACATGCTGACTGGTTTCGGCCTGCCATGGCCTCGTCAGGGGAACGGCTCCAGCTCCCGACCAGTTTGTGCAGGGATGGCCAACTCCCTTCTTCATAGTCAAGTCCAAGACTAGCGACAAGCACCTCGAACTGAACCGAGTCGACCTGCCTGAACTCTGAAGAGGTACCATCCTGTGGTCCTGCACGCCCCTTCCCTGGAACCATTCCCAGTCAATGAATGTTCTTAGCCAACCAGCATGCGTATCTTCTATGCTCATGGCGTCGTTAGGAATCGGATCGTGACATTCTCCCCCACCCAAATCCTGCGACGCCCTCGTCGCAGTGCGGCGCTGACTCCGCTGCGTCCAACATTCCAAAGTCTCTCTCCTCCAGGTGGTATGCTCGCCTACCCACCATCGCTTCCTTGTACAACCCCTGGCTGCACTTGCCCAATGATAGGGTTTCGGGCTAAAGGGACGCCCACTTCTTCGGGACGCAACCCCACGTTATGCCGCCTCCGCGACACCCCGAGCAAACAAGCGCCCTCCGGCTGACTTGATACCCGCCCTTCACAACGGTTTGCACGCCTCTTGAACTTGCAAGAACTTTGGTGCGCGCGGCCCTCCGGCCATCCGATGCGCGCGGCCCTCCGGCTTAAAGGACGCATCTTCATGGGGAGATGGAGGCTCTCCTCCAACAGCATTGATTGCCCACCGACGCTCTAGTGCACCGTCTTCATTCTCAAGACCCTCGGATCGACAAGGGGGCACACCTTTGTGCTTTTCCCCAAGTCCTGCTCTGATACCATTTGTCACGGGCCTAGAGATTTGGCGCAGCGGCACGGCCCGTGCGGCACCAAGGCGTTGCTTCAGCTCGCGCAAGCGCCCTGGTCAGCCACCACGACCTGCACTCCCAAGGATACATGCTGACTGGTTTCGGCCTGCCATGGCCTCGTCAGAGGAACGGCTCCAGCTCCCGACCAGTTTGTGCAGGGATGGCCAACTCCCTTCTTCATAGTCAAGTCCAAGACTAGCGACAAGCACCTCGAACTGAACCGAGTCGACCTGCCTGAACTCTGAAGAGGTACCATCCTGTGGTCCTGCACGCCCCTTCCCTGGAACCATTCCCAGTCAATGAATGTTCTTAGCCAACCAGCATGCGTATCTTCTATGCTCATGGCGTCGTTAGGAATCGGATCGTGACATGAAGCTCCCCTTTTAAGTCAATATCATAGCACTCCAGAGACTATAGGCTTGTAACTGAATCAAGATGGTGCCAAACTAGCTGCTTGCAGTGTTTCGCAATTTCCTCTATATAGAACAGTTAAGAGTGTCATAAAGCAGCATGGAAACCCACATACCCATCAATATCTCCATTATTTCTTCCATCTGCAGGAAAAATATATATATTTAATATTTATTGAAAGCAAATATTTTAACTAGTTTTGAGTAAAAAGGTGCAATTTGCTGAATACAACCAAAAAACAAAAGAAAGAAAACATTAAAAAAGATAAATTTTATAGGGGATGTTTTTTCTTCTTTGTATTGCTTTGCTCATGTCTCGATTCTCCATAACAAATATATATTATTACTATAAATCTATCTTAGGATCTTGAGACATGGAGACCATAAGAAAGAAAAGCACCAGTTAAAGTTTTTGCTTCACTACAACATGCAACACCGTGACAATATAAGACTTACTACAACTCAAAAAGCTTTTATAGAAAATATTGTTAAACTGGCAGTAACTGATACTCATGAAGGAGCAATTGTCATTAAAAATATAAGTGACTAAGAATTACTTAATTTAGTTGAAAATTGATGAACGTTATTCTGTTAGCAAAAAAATTTATGACAAGGGAACTAACAGTAAAAAACATTTTCTGTTAGTAATATTATTTCTATATCCAGCGAATACCATGATAAAGGAAAATCTTATGTAGTCTAATGTTATTATTTAAGACTTTCTAATCCAAGGGGAAGCATACTGTCAATTAAGAGTAAAAGCATACAAGGAATACTTACAGTCTGAGCCGCAGTGGTGATTTCTCTCAACAGCTAGATCAAAGAGGTTCCCCGACATAAAATCTAGCCGATCACATAAAGTGTCAAGAAGGGGAGCAAGCCATGGCCGTGCAACAGCATCTGCAATCTCTGCAGCTGCTTCAGAAACTCCTCTCCCTCCACCTCGACCAGCATGGGCAAGTAACATATTTGCCATCTGTCACAATTTATCAAAATAAAAAAATGCCCTGATCTCCAGTTTCTTGCATTCAAATCGGATTCCACTTGATTGTATTCAATTGGCAGAACCAAATCAAAATAAGGCGGATAAACGGAACTTCATGATTGCTTTTACAAAAAATCTTTATACTAGAGGACATCCCATAGAGTATGTGGCGCAGCGAAAATAAAAGCATCACACTTTCAAAAAGCACCTTCCTCATAGAGTCGAAGGTGGCATTGGGAGGTTTGATATTTGTTGTAACACCAGGCCAGCTTCCAATCCCACTCTCCGACTGCTCCTCTTCTGTTGTCTTCCCCATTGTTCAGGGGAAGGATCTGCTGCTCTGTCAATCAATGTTCCCTTCAGTAATCAGAAAAAGTAATAGCCCAAAAAAAAAAAAAAAAAAATTATCCAGTGCACCCTAATAATGTACGATGCTGTGAAGGATAGACTGGTCTCACCTCTTCATTAATCAGAAAAAGCAAAGACAAAACATTTGGCATTATTTGCAAAGTGGCTATCGCTAGACTCGAATATGTGTTCTTAGACTTGCTTTCTAGAGCAACCATGTGTTTTATTGATTTACACTCTCAAAATGACATGTTTTACAAGAGAGTTTGGAATTCAACAACTCAATATTACCTATCCCCTTAAACAGCAAAGTTAGGTATATTTATGAGGCTCATAATTAAATTAGTAAATTGTCTACTATTACCCACCACATGGTTGCAGATGGAAGCAGCATGCAGCATTGCAGATCTTCAAAGATATGCAACATCAGAATTGGCCACTATTTTAAAGTCCATTCTGGCTAGTTCAACAGTGACTTTGTTGCAATGTTGTTCAAGCAAACCAGAGTTGCTGTTGCAGCTTCTTTATATCGCTTCTGAAGCTCAAACTCCAAATAATCTCTGAGACAGCCAAAACCAAGGTGAGACCTGAACATTTCTTCATCAAATCCCACCTTCACACCCTTACGTAGGTGACGTAATATTTCAGTGTCCACTTGAGATATTGGCCTGCAGAATTCATCATTTGAAATTGTGCTCCTGTCCTTTGGTCACTAAACTCCTGCACCATACAGAAATATTCAAATTCAATATGTTCACTAGGACCAATTTCATTGTGCCAGACGATGGAAACAAAAATTCTTTCATTATGCCATTAACTACAAAAATTTATTCCAGTTGTTCAGAAAACATACCAAAGCAACCCAGAACAATTTATTTCCGTATTGTTGGAGTAGCAACGACATCTTTATTAGTATATATGTGATATCCTAAGATTTTATTAGGCCTTTTAATTGTGTTTAGTGACTCTTAATCGTGCTTAGTGATTCTTAATCGAACTTAGTAACTCTTAATCAAGCTTATTGACTCTTAATCGTGTTTAGGTAGTTAATTGATTTTATTGGGGCATTAGTGTGATTAACTTTTTAGTGATGGACAGTTTTGGCATCCAAGTGGCAGCTTCCTAGGACCTCATCACACCTGTTTATACAACCCATAGGACACATTTTGTTCCCAGAGGTTACACCTGTTGCTGCCTTCTCTTCTATTACATGCACACTTGAACCAAGACAAAGAAAAGAAAACAGTAGAGAGGGAGCAAGAGAGCTCCAGCAGTGAGGGTTTAGTAAGAGAAAGAAGAAGGAAAGGAAGGAGAGGAATAGGGGCTGAATTGTAGAATTCATCACCATCTCATCTCCATCTTCATGTTGACATTCATGGGTAGAGTTCTCTATAGCTTGAGTTGCGTGGAGTGGTTTTATTCCTAAATTCCTTGGTTAAGCCATGACACAATCTGTTTTTAATTGTTACATATGTTTTGGCCAAACTGATATTGATCTATATTGAAATCATCTTGATCCTCCGCTTTGTTCTTGAGCTTTTTGTCTGAGTGTTTTTCAACATCTATCTTCTATATTTATATATGCTTTTACATATTCTCTGTAAAGCTTATTCTCATGTATGTTAAACCTCTAGGAAACTCTTGATATGGTTTTTCCTACTGGGCTGATAGCTCACCCTAACATTTTTAGGTACCAAGGAGCAAGTGGAGGGATTCGGGAATTGAAAATTAATTGTCAAGTCAGTTTGGAACAAGTGCAGGCTTTCCTCTGATGGTGTTGTGTGGCATAAGAACGTGTGAAGGTATTGCAGGCCTAGAGCCTCTATGACTACTGTTCTTGTTCTTCAGTCTGCAATTCCTAATTATGGGAATCTGCAGAAAAGTGGGCTATGTCTCACATCTATTTGACACCTTTGTTATGGGAATTTGGATGCAGTGCTATGGGAGTGTATTCAGCTACTGGGGGTTCAATTGCAGGATTTGATTCCATCTTCCCATGAATTGTGTCTACAGTTATTTATGTTCTTCTTTGTGATGTTCTTGCCTAGCCTTTTATTTGATTTGGTGCTGTATTGGAAATGGGTATAGGCATTTATTTTTCATTGAAAACTTGGTAAAGAAATCAGATGCAGAAGCAGATGCAGTATATAGCCTACACATAAGTGATATCTAATTACAGCCTAAAGAGGGGAAGAAACCCTTACATTTCTAGGGCCGCCTGTTCTTCATCCGGTGCTCACCACCTACCGCCGGCCACAAACCCAGAGCTCCGTTTGATTGATCGATCTGCCTGACTTCTCCATCATCTGCGGCAGCGGTGGTATTGGGTCTCACCGTGTTAGAGAGAGAATGAGAAAAAGAAAGAGAGGAGAGAGAATAGATGAGAGAGAAAGAGACGGAAGTGGTTTGTGGATACAGGTCTTGGTTGGTCTGGTGATGAAGGGAAAGAATTGGTAGAAATAAAGAAGAGAAGAAGAGAGAACTTGAAATTTGAAATTTCTGCCGTTAGCAGCAGAACTTGGAATTTGAAATTTCTGCCGTTAGCAGCAAAACCCATACATACAAGTTAGCAGTTGCAGAGAGAGAGAGAGAGATGGGCAAGCTTGAGAGTTGAGAGACAGCGGCTGAAGCATGCGAACGGCGAACCCGAACTGGAACAGCGGGCGAGGGAAACTGAAAGATATGGGTTTTGATTTTTTGAACAATCTGAAATGATATGCCGATATGGGATTTGATATAGGTAATTGGTTTTGAACTTTTGATTCTTGCAGACAGATAGATAAACTGAAATATATGGGTTTTGAACTTCTGATTCTTGTAGATTTTGTAGTTTGCAGTTGCAGAGAGAGAGAGAGAGGGCAAGTTCAGAGTTTAGAACGAGAACAGAGATAGATGGAGCCGATTGGGGAGGGCTGAAATTATTTGCCCTAGATTTTTTTTTTTTTTTTTTCTGGTGGCCCATCATCCATGGGCCTATAAATTTTGAGGCCCCATAAATAATTGTTTCTGCATTCTTCTATTTTGTGAGAAGTTTATATATAATTTATCACTGAAATAATTATTTCTGCATTCTATTTGTGAGAAGTATAATTGTTCTTACATTCTATTTGTGAGAAGTTTATATAATTTATCACTGAAATATTTGTTTCATATTTTTTATGCATTTGTCATATAAATATTATGCAGTTCTCTAGTCCATCATTTTTGTTCATCTTTTATCAGTAACTTTTAATTTAACTCATTTGTATTAAAATAGTAACATTTCTTTTGCCTATCTAGCATACAATTTTTTTTACCTATCTAGCATATAAGTTATAGGTATAACATGAATTCAAAAGAACACTAATATTTTTATCAAATTATTATTTATTTTTATATTACATTGTTAAATCTAAAAATTTATCTTTTAAAAGATAAAAGATAAAAGGGTATAATAGTAAATTTATTTAAATAGTTTCATTTTTTTCAGAACATAATTATTATCAAAATAGAGTTTTAAGTTTAAAAAACTTGTTATGTGTGAGCTGTGAGTGCTGTAACTGATATACATCTGTTTAATTGTTATGTTCATATGAGCAATCATATATTACATGACTCAGAGAATCATGAACAAGGTTGTGTTGCTATGAAATTACCCTTAAGTCCATATAACAAAGCCTGCTGCAGAAAACTGAAGTATAAGCTGTTTTTGAACTATAAAAAACATCTTGCTACATACTATGAAGTGACACATTGAGCAAGTGTTATCTGATGAATTGAAGCTGGGAGAACAAGATTCAATAAGGACCAGTCACGAATTTACTGAAGTACCTCTCAAACCAGAATGTTACAGCGGCAAAAATAAAACTGCTGTGAGCAATTGTTTTGATGTTGTTTGAGCTGCTTAGTTGAGGCCTTACGTGTGTGTATCTTGTCCCTGCTTTAGACCAAGTGTAATTCATTATATTCTAGCTATGAAAGCCTTCTGTTGCTAAGAATTCCAATTACTATAAGGCTGTGTTTGACATAGGCTGAGAACCAATGTTAAAACCCTGAAGTTGTTATTGTGAACCTCTTTTGTTGTTATCTTGCTGATTTATTATGTACAATCATCAAAGTAGGTGTATTTGGCATAATGGAGACTGGAGGAGTATTGTTTGGGTGATACTAGAGGCTGAATTACCAACTTACCCTTGAGAGGTTTAGTTTTGGGGTTTTGTAGAAATCAAGGCTGCAGTGTTATTTCTTTGTTATAACTTGCTTATCCAACTATGTTTATCTCTCAAGCAAGTGTATCTTATCTATAAAAGTATGTGGAAGTGAAGGATGAGCCCAGTTGAAGCTACATTACAGATATACCATTTAAAGCTGCAAAGCTAAGGTTTATTGGGTTTTTGTGTCTAACTGAGATTATAATTATATTCCTTGCTGTTTGATTTGATCTTATCCACTGAGCAAGTGTAGTTTATCTATTGAAAAATGAGGATGCAGAGTTTGGGGTGTTCTTGAGGCCACATTACGGTTTTACCCTTAAGAGGCTAAAACTAGGGTTTTGAAGACTACAAGGCCATTGTGTATTATTATCTCTATAACTTGTTGGTTTCACTGAGTTTATCTCTTAAGCAAGTGTATTTTAGCTATTAAGAGCAGTGGAAGACAATTGCAGGTCATTATTGAGACTGATTGTGAATTGACACTTTTGCCCTTGAAGTTTAGGGTTTTAGCCTTTTATTCTCTAACATTGTTCTACCTTGCTTTTCTAATTGAAAACTCTATTTAAGCAAGTGTTATTGACTGAGCCAAGGCCGTGGGAACCTAGCTTGAGCATTAAGTAAAGCTGCATTGTGTTTTGACAGTTCTATCCCTTGATTGCAAAGAAGTGAAGACTAGGGTTTCACATTGTTCTACTTGAGGCTGTGTATTGCATTCCAATATTGTTGTTGCAGCTGAAGTAGTGATCGGTTGGTCAATCATACATCAACCTTCGCAATAGCACGAATCATTGTAAAATAGGGCTATTGGTCGGGTAAGTCGAACCACTGGGACTGCGCTAGTCTAAGGCAACCTAAGTGTTTAGAGTCATTCTTAGGATGATGAAGGGGTGTTCATAGAGGTTGTGTTTGTTGTCACTTAACTACAAATTCAGAATGCATACACAATAAATTGAAGGAGATTAAAAGAGAAGATTTAGAGAAGGAAGTCTAGGGAAGTGAATCCACTCCAAACCTCTACACAAGCTAATTATATGATTGATTTGGGGAATTAATGTAGAAATGACCTTGATGAATAGCAATTCATGACTACTATATCATCTTCAAGAAATTCAATTAATTAAAATGTAAGAACAACCTATCAAAGCTCCACATGCTTAAATTACCTAAACTATGGTGCAATTCTCAACATGCTCACTAAGCTAGAGATTGTCAAACAAATAACCAATTGATGAGAGCACATGATAACAAGTCACAAGGTTAATTCATCAAAAGAAATTCTTAAGCAATGAATTAACAAGCTACTCAAAATCATGCCATTAAAACCATTCCATAGTTTTAGCTCCATTGTCACTATGAAACTACAAGCCATACAACCATGAGATTAAATCATCTAAGACAAGAGTATTTAATGCAACATGATCTTTAGAACATTAAAACATCCATTACATTATGTAACATGCTCTAGATTATGGAACTAGTCAAATACACATTTCATTCCCCAAAATAAATCAAAAACTAGACATGCTTACAAGGAGGAGTTTCATCACCTCCCTAGATGGAGGTTTAGTTATCCATGGATACAAAAATGGAAGAGGAAGAAGAAGACTCCATCTCCATTTTCAAGCTCCTACTGTAGCACTCAAGAACACCCTTTTCCTTGCTCTCTTCTCTCTCCTCTATCTTGCTAAAGATCAAAGATAGCAAATGTGTGGCCTTTGGTAGCTTTTTATTCTCCAACACACCCTCTCTCTCTCCTCCAAGGAACACCTCCAACCACTTCATAAAGAGGGAAGATGGCATTGAGGAAACCAATGTGCAAGTGGCTGAAATTGAGCCATTTCCGAGTGCAATCTGCCTGATTTTCGAGCACTCGAAAAGTGGTCTCGAGCACTCTAAATTAGTGCAATGTGCAATATGCTCTTCTTACTCAGCGCTGACCCACTTTGGTAAAACTGCTATAACTTTGTGCCCCGAACTCCGAATGATGATCTGTTTGAAGATTTGGAGAGCTTATTCAGTGCTTTAAAAACTTCATGTTTTGATGAAGACCCAATTCTCAAGTCTGGTTGGTCGAAAATGGGGAGAAAGGCAGTACTTTAGTGCTGCCAGGCAGTTCTGCGCACCTCTGTTACGAAGATCATAACTCTCTGCTCCGAACTCCGAATGATGAACCACTTAAAGATTTGGAAAGCTGATTCAGAGATCTAAATCTTTCATGTTATGATGGAAGTCTAGTTCTTGAGTTTGCTAGGTCGAAAATGGCGACAAAAGTCAGGATCACTGCTGCCAGAAATTCAGAAATGGCATCCTTTTTGTTCAAAATTCCACAAGGCATCATTTTTGCTTCCTTTTTCCACTTTAACTTGAAAATGCATAAAAACATGCAAATGGAGTTAATCTACATAAAATAATTAATAACTGGACTTTGTTAATGTAATTTAGGGCGCTTGAATATACAATATTCGGCGCTTATCACACCCCCAAACTTACATTTTGCTAGTCCCTTAGCAAAACTACAATGAAAAATATAATGAAAAGACAACCATGGGCATGCTACTACAAAAATATCATCCATGGTAAAATGAGATAGATACATAGCTCAAATACAACTTGAAACAGACAAAAACTGGAGATGAGGTCATTGGGAAAACTACCTTGCATATATGAAGCATTGATACAAAAAATGGGAAAAACCATTTCAACATGCATGCATCAACATCATAGTCCATATAAATAATTCAATTGTCATCTCTTAAATGGAAATAACTCAAACTCCAGTGAAAGTGAATTGGATTCTCAACATGCGGCTTTTACTTTCTTTTCCAATTCCAAGGCACAAGTTTTCAAATCAATGAATTCCCTTTTACATGAAGTCCCTAAGGCATGATTTTATTTTCAAGACAACTTTTGTTGCTTGTTAACAATTTATTTCAACTCATAAGCGAAACATAGAATGGTTGTGCAATGCTAAAGTCCCTTAAGCTTTCTAACCAACCTATGTAGCAAGCGTTAGGCCAACAACTCCCAAACCAGACGGCTTTAGGGTGTTAAGTGTAGAGACACTCCAAAGGACTTAATAGCTCAAGTTGGAAAGGCTACGAACTCTAGCTAACCATGTTTATTACAATTTTTTTTGAATGACCGTGCAATGTTTAAGTTCTTTAAGCTTTCTAACCAACCCTTGTAGCAAGCGTTAGGCCAACAACTCCCAAACCAGACGGCTTTAGGGTGTTAAGTATAGAGACACTCCAAAGGGCTTAATAGCTCGAGTTGAAAAGGCTACGAACGTCAACTGGTCATTTTTCATTTTTTTTTTTTTTATATATTTTTTTTTAATTTTTTTTTTAATTTTTTTTTTTTTAACTTAAATCATGCCAAAGATATTCATCTATCAGGTTCATCAAATCAGATTAACTAGGCCAAGGTCAAGGTTGATCAAGCTGCATGCCTCACAGTTAAGTTTCCAATGTGCATCTGTGCATTGTGAAGCTTATAAGAGTGTAAATCCAGCAAGAATCTAATTGAAACATTTATACAGACTAATTTGAATCTACATGATCATTTCAACTCAAATTTTTCTTTATTTTCAAAAATTTCAATTGCTTCTATACACAAGGTATTAAACATATGTTTCATCTCCGACAAGTGTCAAGTTATACTATCATTGCTTAGCAAAAATTATGAAACCAAAAATATGCCAAGAATGCTTTGATGCACCCCCAAACGTAAACTACACAGTGTCCTCAATGTGGGACATGGATGCAAGTTAGAGACAAAAATGACAAAGAGTATAAAAGGAACAACAATACCCAGGGGGAGGAAACGGCATTTTGAGACAAAAACCCCCAAACTTGAATTGGACTGC